CTGTGGGTGTATGGCAGCGAATAACCCAGCAGGAGGTGAATTAATGAAAGGTACATCGATATAGCAGTCAACAGCAATCAGAAACCTGTGACTTGGACAGATGTTTCGAACATCTACAGCCTGTCTTTGACAAACCAGCAGCTGGATGAGACGCTGGCCATAGATCGCTGACAAAAAAGCCAGTCTGGGGCCGTGAATGCAGTTGAATTTTGTGCCTTAGCAGCCAAGAGCAACTGAAATCAGCGAGTGCAAGCTGTTCATTGGGCGGCTTTGTCAGACATTACAAACAGACCTGAACCATTGAGATGAGGTCAATAGTCACTTTGTCTATGAGACAAAAGAGACTATAAGACTATAAGAATCTATGAACACATTCATAACACATTATAATGCATTCATAAAGAATTATCAACGTGGTTATAAATATAAAAAGGCACAACATGTTATTGCCATGTTAATTGTGAATTATAAATGCTTCATGGAGCTCTCAAATATAATCCACTATAGGTACCTTCATAATACAGTACAAAGCATCCTTAATTTTTATACTGACCATTATAATGCACTATGAAGGTATCTATAGTGCATTATAGATGACGGCTTCAAATAAAATGTTACCAACATTTTTCTGTCAATGAAAATTTTCTACTTTCAAATGTGACCTAAAACTCATAATCCTGCTTAAATTAAAGTTTTGGAGTAGCTGTTAACTACCCCATAAGGTTACTTTTGTCTGGAATATTGTTACATCCATCTTTTACTTGATGGTATTAAAATTGGTTCACAGGTCATCTTTTTTCCAGCCTAAGACAGATTCCCAGTTTGATTTTCCATATCAGTTTCAACTTGTGACCCCCATTGCCTGTCAAAGGGAATCATTCTCACGTGGACCACATCTATTCAACTTGGAATGTTCCATTGAGGACACGGCGAGCTCATTAGGTCACTGCAGGTCACACTCACAGGGTTTGCTGTGCCCTGTCAGCAGCTCTGTGCCCAAAAGAGAGAGAGAGGGATAAATGAGGCTTTTTAACAGCTGACAACTTTCACAACAGCCAGTTTCAAAATCAGTACTTTCTAGAATAGATTTTATTTAGTGCCTGGGAACTTTTGCCCCTTTTTTGTTAGAAACCGATGTAATTATTGCTAATTAGAGGTGACCAGATATGACTATGGGGTAGGATTGCATTTTTTTGTGTTTGAATGTGTATTTAAGATGTGTTAGTGCTTAATTGTTTTGGGGGAGGGGCTTTAAAGACAATTTTAAGTCCTTATTTCTATACCTATATATCATTTCAGTCTCTATCTACCATCCATCCATCCATCCATCCATCCATTTCCCATTACTGCTTATCCTATTCAGGGTCACGGGGGGGTCCAGAGCCCATCCCAGAGGCTATGGCTGCAAGGCAGAGAACAAACCCACACAGGGCCTCTTTCTATAATGCCATGAATATTTCAGAAGGAAATACCTAAGAAGACACCCCATGTTCCTATAAAGGATTTGTCCACTTAAACCAAGGCTTCTGAAGTCAGACAGACAGTACATTTCAAATGAATATATATTAGAAATTAAGTTCTGGAAATGTATCAAAACAACCCATGTGTACTGGGTGCATTATTTTCAGGATATTTTATGTAAAAATTACGAAGTTGCAAGCCGAATGGTATCTGAATGAACAGAGGCAAACATTTTACAAATCCTAAGGGATGTGTTTTGGAATTTATGGAAGTTTTAGGGAGCGATAGTTCCCACTCCTCTTTGAACCCTCTGATGGCTTGTATGTGGAGAACACTTGGACTGAACTAGAAAGTTCTTATTAAAATCAAAGGTCACTCACGGCGACAGTTAATACAAATTTTACTATGAACAGTGACTGCCATCTTGTGACTATGAAAAGCATTACACTTAAGTTTAATTGTTCATACATTTTCTTGGTGTGACTACATTAAAAAAAATCACTAAATGTGTAAATGGGTGGAAACATGAACTCCCTCAGTGTTTAACCTAGTGTTATGCACTTGGACCTTGAACACAGTCCATTCAGTGTCAATGTCTTAGTGCTCACCTGGCACTAAGACAGCAAGAAAGCAAAAGCACGATGTACTGTCCAAAACACAAGGCCTCGGGGCACCTAAGGTGAAGCAACACGGTGTTTGTTATGGACGATCCATAGATTTAAAAAAAAATAAATGAGGATTAGATCATCAGTCAGGTTTATATCTGAGAGGTTCCAAACATGCCCCTTGAGACATTGTATTCCATGTGGCACCCACTCAAGCAACTTGCTCACTTTTTCAAAAGCAGCAGGGTACTCCAAACGCCAAACATACCGACGTTAAACAGCGCCTACTAACCTAGTTTTGCTAATGTTGGCTTGCTGGGTAATTACTGCTATTCGCTTTTGTGAGCAGTCCCTTTAAAAACTACAACACCCATGTGGCATATTCAAGCTGTCCCTTTAAAAACTACAACACCCATGAGGCATATTCAAGCTGTCCCCTTAAAAACTACAACACCCATGTGACATATTCAAGCTGTCTCCTTAAAAACTACAACACCCATGTGACATATTCAGCCACATACTCCCGTGTCATCCAGACACTACCTCAAAACCAAAGCAGTGTGTTGGACATGCCTTTGCATACCAGCCAGAAGCTCGATATCTAAATGGGCATTCAGCTCAGGTGGAAATGTTGTTACATGCCTCAGGTCCTGCTTGAAACCAGACACATGGGGCAGAGATGGTCTGACCAGGGTCTATGAACTCTTCATAGGGTAGTTGTATTTGAGGCAGAATCAATGAATCAATCATTTATCTATGTTCAGGGACAAAAGGCAGGGACAGTTAGATAAAGTGCAAACCTCCAGTCTCTCGAAAACCAGCAGGATATGGCTCCCCAGTGTCTGGATGATATCTTTATTATTGCTGGGGACTTCAACCACTGCACCTGAAGAAAATCTTTGCCAAGTACAGACAGGATGCCACCTGCCCCACCTGGGGTGGCCAGACCCTTAACCTCCAGCTACACCCTATTCAAGGGAGCCCACAACTCTGTCACACATCCAGACTTCAGCAGGTCTGACCACTCGGTGGTGCTTCTGCTTCTAGCCTAGATGCAGGAACTGAAATGAGCCCGACCCATGATGAGGGAGGTACAGTGCTGGACACGTGAACACGGATCCAGGCTTCAAGACTGCCTGGATCTGACTGACTCGTCCACCTTCGAGGTGTCCTCCGGGACCCTGGATGAATACGCCAACTGGGTGACGGACTATGTGAGGCTATACTGTATATTGGTTATCATGGGGGAAACAATGCTGGTCAAAAGCTCGAGTATATATACTTGTATTTTAGATAATTATCCAGACAGTGGATGTCAGAGGAATGAAATTGGCCATATGGACTGATGAGCCAACGATGGAAAGATCCAGGTCCAACTGCAGTGTGTTTGTCTGACACAGAGAG